GGGAAAAGGGGGGGGGGGGCATACTGGACGTGACCACTCCCTTGGTTGGGGGCATTCTTATTACTTTTTCGATATGAAAACAAAAAAAAAGGAAAATTCAAAGGGGGTGCATTGACAGTTCAAGTGAACTAGAGTGTGGAGAGTGTTTCACAAACATACCTCTTAGCAGTCATTATCAAATTTGCAATGCCCTGCCCAATGAGGCCACACCCAAATCCAACTGAGCCATACAAGAATCCCTGGAAGTCAAGAAAGGGAAATAGGTTACAACACTAAAATTTAACTGCTTCAAGAACTATAGAATGGCTCAATACTTGGACAATAACGAAACAAATGGAACCAAAATAACAGATTGTGAATCAGGACTTGAAACGGACTCCCATTGAAACAAATTCTAATCCAAAATCTATCATCTGTATATCCTGAAAGTACCAAAGGACAGCCCGGAGCACTAAGCTCCCGCTACGCGCGGGGTCCGGGAAGGGCCGGACCACAAGGGTAGTATGCAGCCTTACCTTGCATTTCTGCAAGAGGCCGTTTCCACGGCTCGGACCCCTGACCTCTTGGTCACATGACAACAACTTTACCAGTTACGCCAAGGCTCCCCTTCATATCCTGAAAGTACCAAGATCATCTAAAAGATAGCAAAGAAGTTCAATCACATGTTATACCTTGTAAAAGTATGTCGCAATACGCTGCTGCAATGTGAATTTACAGCCTGGCCTCTTAGCTTCAAAAACGCTGCACAAAATGGATATTCAGAAATCAGAACCAGCAACACCTCTATTATCAGCTATCATAACATCGTGAAGATAGACCATCAAACCTAACCAACAAAAGAACAGAGGATGCACTGATTGTGTTCTTCCCAATTTTCACATAGATTCTCTCACCCTTCTGTAATCAAATCATTTGTCTTAAGCTAAGCGAACAAGAGAACTTTCAAAAATCAAAGTTCTAGCAGGCACTTAAGGCAGCCAATACCTTTTACGGAGAATGCCGTAATACCCATAACCAGGTCCATTTCTACGAAAAGCTTGGTCACTTTCATAACATGTTTTAGTCCTAAAATGGCGAAGCTTGCCACAGTAATCCTAATAGTCAGCAGAAGTAACATACTCAAAAGAAGGAATCAGCCGCTGAAGGCCAACAGGATACATGTTTTTAAAAAGGAGAAAAAAAAACCTCGAGAATATAAGGGTGATTAGACACAGCCCTGGCTAACTAAGAAGAGATATTGGCCCTTGACCAAGGCTGTCCATGCAAATAAAACATATGGGCTTGTGCCTTAATATCTAACCCACAAAAGTTTTAATTTTTAGGCACATAAAAATAGCTAACCATTCTCAAAGTCTCTTATTGAAGTATGGAGAAACTCGTGGTGTTAAGAGTATGGTTTGGTCAAAAACTATCTCAAAAAGGTATAGTCTTAGTTGATGCTTCTTCACTGACGATGACAGAGTATCTGGATCACGATTTCCTGATTTCATCGTTTAATCAACTAAAGTGAAAGTCTAATATCCCGGCATGTTGTGTAGTCCGCTTATGTGGCATTAAAATCTTCAATCTTGTCACAGCTTGCCAGCTGGATCTACTAAAGAAGACGCGTAAGGATTCTATTATCCAAGTCAATCACCACTCTTTTACAGAGGTGGATCTAGGATTTCTAGTACATGGGTGCACTACTAAAAAAAGGGGAGAAAAAATGCATCTAGGGGGAATTGATCCCTATGCCTCTTGGTAATTAACTCAACTTTTAACCAAGTGCACCATTCAACCTTCTTGGAGCATGGGTATCGACAGTTAATATTATAGCAATTTTAGAAAATATGTACATAAGATATCTAATTCTACGAAGAGACCATGGGTTCACGTGCCCCATAAATACACCTATAAATCCACCCCTGCTCTTACATCCACCAGATCTTAAATGACCTTTATACGACACAAAATCCAATCGGAGAATCTTGAACCAATTTACTCTTTCCATTAGTAGGTAGTTAAGTCTAGTCTAAAACTTTCTTAATCTGATCCCCGAATAGCAACATACTGTTAGAATCCAAAGAAAATATTTCAATCTTTACTCTTTGTTGGGATCCTACATATCAAAGCCTCCGCTGAACAGATTATGTTAGTATATTTGATGGGCTCCAAAGAGGTAAACATATTTTTTTCTGACAAGTTTCCGCAGAGGCATTCATTTCTAGATTGCATAGACCCCATTGTATGCTCTTTAGTTTCAATTTCAATGTACCAATGGCAAAATGCATCCACAAAGTTTTGACACCTCTCGATTAAGACAGGAATGGAATGAAGAATAAATCGGAAGCGATCAATCGGATACAACAAGGAGATATATTCATTCTAAACTTAACTGGTTGATTTAAAATGTTTTTACCATTGTATTGATAGTACAATTCATCTCACTTAAGAGTTTGTCCATTAGTTTGTAACCATTGCTTTTCCATTTGAAACCATGTGCGAAAACACAAAAAGGAACTCCAGATAATTCACAGAATGTGGATAAGGTTTATAAGACATCATGGGCGAAGCCAAATGGTCATAAGGGTGGTCACTTGACCACCCTTCGTCGAAAAATTAAAAATTACACTATGTATATAGCTACAATATTACGTTCTAGAGGTTTATAATACATATTGAACACCCTCTGTTGGAATTTTTTTCACTTCTTTTAAATTTGAATACCCTTGGAGAAATTCTTAGCTTTGCCACTGGTTATGACCATGGTGCATCTGCATGAGAGAATTTCATGAACGAGAATTATTCTCTGTATCTAGCCTACTGAACTATCTCTCAGAAGAACGTCGAAGCTGTTACTCTGACACAATTAATGTAGGTACTAGATGTTATGCAACATCTCAAATCATGAGATCAGAAAGTACAAAAGTTGGAATTCTACCTGCTTGGGAGAGCTCCACAAGCATGTCGAAAGCGTCCGAAAGAGCTGCTTGAAACGGACTGCTTGCCTATTCGGACATAAGGAGCCAACATGCCTACCAATGCAACGTCAACAACAATTCCAACTAAAAGATCTGCAGCATACAACTCAAACTCTGCCCAGAAATCCTTTCCCCTTTTCTGAACCTCTGCAAATGTTGCACAACAAGAGTCGATAACAATCTGCAATACATCAGATTAGGTATAAACTGCCACTGTCAAATCAGGTTTAAGAACTTTAATAATCAAAACTGTTAGCTACCAGTTCTTAAACTAATGTACAAATTTACCCGTCAATTAAACTGTTTATTAATCCATTTGGGACAACCAACATTACCAACTTACAACCAATATATTTCCTCAGCTTTGAATTCTTTTTTTTTAAGTATCTTAAATGCATGCATAGCCCTTTGGTTCCTCTCGTTCCTTTTTTATTAGTAATTCTATTATGTTTTTGCTCGTTTGTGACTCATGGATTATTGTCCCTAGAGAACTATTTACAATTTCATCCAATAGTAACATAGAGTTGCTTCAAATGGTCAAAAAATTGTCCACACAACTTAATAAAAGATACTAACATATTCCATAATCACTTATTACAAGCTTTGCACTTGAGTCATGCACACCTCACAGTAGCTACTTAGTACCCTAAATGATACAATGCAAGTCAAGCACATATCACAATCACTGAGCTTAAAGAATGAAATATTTGTGGCAAGTTTGTCAATCTGATACCAATCACCAAACCTCCTCATGGCATTAGTGATTAGCCACATGTCCATAACAAAGTACAAGTACAGCCATCCCATCTTTAACTTTTATATTTTGACAAGTAAAACAAAAAATAGCTCCCAGATTAAGTCAAAACTAACCTCTGTTCCGACTTTAAACAAAAACGACGGATCAGCAAGCATTCGATTTCTCAGCATTGAGCAATGTCTCATAAAAAATCCCAGCGGCCAAGCTGAACCCTGCATGTCAAATACCATTTCAAAATGGATTTGTTATATATACTGAAAGTGTAAAATGAATTTTACACTATCAATGTAGTTTAACCTGCAATAGTACGTTACTTAACATTTTTACCAGGTATCAATTAATGTTCATTATAGAGATTACCTGCAATTACTTAATAAGTGATAGGATTGTGTAAAAAAAAAAATTACACCGTCACTGTACACAACTTAAACTCTTTGAATGAACTTGAACGTTCAGCACCAAAAGATTACATTTTTTGCACCTGCAAATCCAAGTAACGACTAAGAATCAAACTCCGGAGCCCTGTAGTCTTAGCAGCTTCCAACATATCACTGGGCAAACTCGCTCCTCGCTTCTCAGCCTCTTTGATCACCTCATCGAACTTTACAATCGGTCCAAATTCTTCCTCTTCGTAATCACCGTCATCTCCATCGCCGTCACCTCCGCTGCCGCCGTTGTCAGGTGGAAATCCTCCTTTGTCGTCACCTCCATCAGCTGTTCTGATGATGGACTCTTGTCCGGTACATTTGATTATGAAAATTTGATCATCTTTTGCAATTGAATGATTTAAAGATACGAACTTTGATGAATTCGAGAGTCTCAAAAGAATGAATTTGGAAATTTGCGTGTTGTTCGAGTTGGATGGAGAAATCGAATGATTTGATATATGGAAAAGTGGTGATTGAAGCAGGGCCATTGTTGATGAAATTGCGAATGTCACTTTGAAGTTTCAGAGCGAGGAATGAATGTAGAGTGTTTTGTAATAGTACAGAGTAGGAATAGAACAGCGTACGAGGAAATGGCATTAACATTGGTAATTGCAGGTTGCAGCCCTAAGTTCGATATTGACGTTTGTTGTCGGATTGTGCGGGGAACTAATTATGGGGTTGGCTAATGTCGACCTTCTCTGCATGACGTGTTGCATGCATATTGGCAGAATACGTAAACCCCGCCCCCCAAACTTGAAATTGTTTATTCGGACCTCGTCGCACAGCCCTACTCATTCGGATCGGATGTCCGAAATCCGAACCGATCCATTCAATTTTGAATTTCGAATTTCGGATTGGATCGGATTTCGAATTATGTTTATTAAAATTTCGGATCGGATTTCGGATTGGTATATTTAAATCCAATCCAATCCGAAATCCGAAATTATTAGGACATGTATAAATACTACACTTTAATTTACATCAACATCCAAGTTATTACCCTTACAATTGCTAGATTTAGCTATATTGGCACCATAGTACTCTCATAATTGCATAAACATGAATTTTTCTTAATGTATTGCCTCTTTTACAAATAAAATATACATATTAGTTTAACTTTGAGGCATAATAATACGATCCGATATCCGATCCGATCCAAACTTTAAAATCCGATCCGATCCGATATAATTCGGATCGGATTCGGATTGCATTTTCTAGAATCCGAAATCCGAAATTCGAATCCGAAATATGCTAAATCCGATCCGATCCGATCCGTGCACACAGCCCTACGCACAAGGCTTGCTAGTATGATTTGCATCTCTTGTGACCTAATGCACAATGAGCATTAGCTTATTTTGTCATTGCAAATATAATCTTTTGTTTTACTTATTTTGCAATATTCTTTCCTTCTGGGAATTTTAAAAAAGTGTTGTCTAACAAGTCAATTCAAATTTGCAACCAAATTTAATATGCCCTTCTAAAATTTGAAAAGTAACCAGTTAGTACAAACAAGTTTAAGAGTTCCCACAAATTGAAAATAATGAACGTAAAGCACTATATATACTTCTTTTAGGAAATAATTGGTCCCATCGCAATAAAGTGTTTGGACCTCGATTTTATGGCCACAATTAGCACATACACTTGTGCTAATTTGAAAAATAAAACATGAATACCTGATCATGTCACTTTACAGAACTCTTCATGAAGCTGTACATGTATAAGGGAGAATTTGGACATCATAATCCTATTGTATTGTTCCAAGGAAGGAACAAATATTTACTAAGTATCAGCTGAGTTCTATGTTTGTACAAGATTCATAACGTTCAACAAGAGAGTACCAGCTTCTGCGATCAGGCTTTCACCATTCCAAAATTGGACAAAAGTAGTTCTTTTGTCCAAGCGTGAGGGTTGTATGTTAAGTAACAAACTCAATTTGGTCTCTCTGAGGGAAATATAAGGTGCTCGTGCCTCCAATTATCACGGGATGAATCTTTTCCAAACATGTAACCCAAAATTTTCCGGGGCCGTGGATAAATATTTCTAAAGGCCATTCCTTCAGGTGTATGGATGTCCAACCTTAGTGTTTTCATCATAAAATCAAAACAAAGAGGAACTTTTACGGTGTCTTGAGCTTCTCGGTTGCTCTATGGATGATCTTGGGGTTGGACCTGTGCTTTCAACCACGTCTGCTTGAGTGTCTGACGATTGGGGAAGCAGCTTGCATCCAATCTTTCGGGCAAGAAAGCGCGGGGAACTGAGGTAACTGTGCGACTTTGTGACCTTTCTCATCTCTTGTTTGATTTTGCTGAATTCTTCTTCAAGTTCACCAACCCTGGACTTCATCCTTTCTAAGTCCACCTTTAGACCCTGGTTCTCACGCACGACTGTGACCCATCCATCTCTCTGTACAATTTGACCTGCCATGTCAGTGGGGCCAGTGACAGTGACAGGAGCTGCAGGGGCACTTTCTGTGTCCAAGACATGGAGACAGCCAGCTAGAGCTGTTCTCAGCTGCAATTGCTCGAAGAACAGGACTTGGAGAACTACTCGAAGAGGCAACCTGTCATTCTGGGATGCATGTGCACAAGCATCAATAGAGAGCTTCTGAAAGTCGATTATGTTGCAAAGCTGCTCCTTTTCTTTATCTGAGAGCCAAGGATGCGCCTATACAATTTCATTTTAATCCATTAAGAATCTCGTTCAGAACTTCCAAAAGGTTTGAATATTACAAGGTTTCACAGTGCAGAGTTAAAATCAATTTAGCTCTAGATCATCAATGAGGTAAATAACAAGCACAGTGAAAAGACATACGTCTTAAGACTACACAAACAGAAAACTAAGCTAGAAAATCAGTCAGCATAAAAAAGATTAAGAAGCTTTACTTGATGCAATTTGCTTTTGACTAGAGCTCTGTCCTCAGATATGAAAGACTGTTTAATTGGAATAGTGCATTTTCAGACAATAGGTATGCTAGGACACGTAATGAAACACGAAAGCACAGCCATCCATGGAATAGAATAAAAGGACTAACCATTATGTGGCAGTAAATTAGCAGGTAAATAAACTAATCACAAACAATCAGCTATATCATCATTAGCACAAAGTGAGGCAGTGACTGAATCAAACCTTAAAGTATATATCTATAGCTCTGTATAGCCCATCATGCAGAGATCTTGAAGATTCTGGGAGAGCTTCAGCAAGTGAACGAATTTTTCCAGGCTTTAGGTTCACATCAGATGCAACTTCTGCAATATAGCTGTCTACCAGCTTCGCCACTCTCCTTAAAGGGTCAGATGATGGTGATGTTCTTATCTCAAATGAAGATGGAGCAGGTGTTGTGGCGATCCCAGGTTCAGAAGATATAAAATGATGAATCATTCGTTCAACACAATCAGTGTGATATAATGTATCAGAATCTGAGTAGGAAGGTATCAGCAAACCATCAAGGGATGCTAGGTCCAATTGCATTCCTATTCTCCTCTCCAGCGAGTCCTGGCATGTGTGGTTCACACCAAGAATCAACGCAACTCGCAGAAGTCCCAACAAGAAACGGCAAAAAGATTTTCCCTTCAATTCTGGAAGCAGTTTCACAACACTTTCTAGGAGAACTTTCTGATCAACGGCAGCGGGTGTCATACTAAAACTAGCAACTGTTCTAGTTTTACCACTTTGCCCACTCTGCCACCGGCCAAGTCCTGGAAGGTACTTTCTACAGTAGTACATCATAGCACCTGCTAAATTTTCATGTCTAATACCTCTGGCTTCCATTGTTTGAATTAGTCTCTGAAATAATGGTACAGAAAGATATGAGATGTCTTCGAACCACCAGTCAGATTCAATGGTTTGGATTCTAGCACCAGTGTTAATTCCATTCCACAATATACTACCTCCAGGGCTCTGTAAGCTGCCATACATCAACATAGGCCATCCAAATAAACTAGGATCTGTGCAGACCATCACAGAGAGCGCATTCAAGCATTTACTAATGATCTCTAGCTTATCTGCTTTTGGAATGACAGGATCACAAGTTTGGAGAGCCAATATGCAATCTTTCCAATTCCTAATAGTATTCTTATGAAAGTAAGCATCTGCCTTCAACAGTAAATTATCTTCTCCATACTCCTCCGTCATCTCCAAGTAGTCTGCTGCACAATAAATCATTACAATGTTCCTCGGGGTATGATCTACTCGAATACTGTAGCAGAATTTAACTGCGACCAGAAATCTGTCACTCCCACCAGGGAAGTCTTCCAAAGTTATCAGCAAATTCCCTTCATGCGGACCTTGAGCTGCTTCTAGTATTTTGGCAATCCTCCCACATCTTGACATAAGTGGAAACTGTAGACGGAGCATTTTTCGGCTGTTAGGCACGACTTGGTGTAGAGAAGTTAAATTTGATTTAAAAAGGTGAGTCGGGGAGTCCATATAAATTCAGCAATACTTGATCATGATAGGATTCAGAACAAGAAACAGCATTAAGACAAACTAGTAATGATTGGGAGGAAAATTCAAAGCAAGCATATTGACAATCACCCTTGAGAAGAGTACAGTTACTTTGTAGAGTTGACACTATAGTCATCTTCTACATATCACTGATTGCACACACCAGTTCTAAACTGGGGCTTGCATCACTTTGTGAATTCTGAAAAATCCTATTAGATGAAACTAAGTTGCCACAAACATTAGCATTCCAGTTTATTTCGGCTCCAAAGTTCCGTCATTTTCTGAATCATTGCAACAAAAACTAGCTGATTGGTGAGAAAAAGTGAAGCTCGTTAGTGACTTTGTCAGTCAAACATCCACTGCTTGGGAGAAGCAAGAATTAGGAAGGAAGAAATACTGAAATTCAATTAGAATAAGCCATCGGCAAGAATTGAAAAGGGCATGATGAGAATTTTGAGTACTCATCAAAAAGAAGGCAAGAACTGAAGAGGGCATGATGAATAAGAATATAATGGAATGAATAAGGTATTAAAAACTACTCTTTTTTTTCCGACTTAAAAAATTTCTCTATTTTTTTACTTAGTGGTATTTCCGAAGTAAAACACTGTTTCAGGATATTATCCGCACAAGCATAATTAGTCTCTGCTGTAATTGAGCGCCCTCCCTTCAAGCATAAATAGTCCAGGGAAATGACTCACATGAGCAAAACTCGTCTGTATTCATCAAATTAAGATTCAATGCTTTTATTTTTGTTTTTTTCTTTTCTTTTTTTCTGAAGTGTGAATGAACAGAGAGGATTCATATAGCTGAACCTATCTAATTTGGGGCTGGGGTTACACAAGTGAACGAAGTTGGGTATTTAAGTGGAGAAGGATAGAGAGGCGGGCCCATAATACACCGAGTTTCATAGATGAAAATTTTCTCATATATTTAAAAAAAGGAGATAATTATCCAATTCATGTATCTCTTTCTCTCAATTAACAGATATCAAAAGGAATTATCAGACAATTCAGATATTTTCAGATGCTGGAAATGATTATTTCCAAACAGTATCAATTGTTATGACTAAGCTACATATAATTCCACCATTCAGACCGTATGCCAACCTGTTCGAAATAAAACACTAATATATAATCCATGACGATTCTGACACTTAACAGATTATCATTACTATACAAGAATTACTCTCACACCCCATTATATC